CTTCCTGGTAAGATCTGTGCCTGAGAAACCAGGTGGAAACGCAAGCAGTCAAACTGAAAAGTAATAAATAGGAAGATGGCTATATAATATTTCACATACTGGGTATTCAGAGGAACCTGAATGATAGCAACAGATGAGATTTCCCAAGCTTAAATATTTCCTTCCACTAAACAAAAAGCAGCCAGAGATGGAATAGAGAACTAAGGTTAAAAAAAAGAGCCCGAGAATCAGTAAAAATAAAGTTCCAAATATCCAAACTGGCTTATATCCAAGAATTTGGATTGAGGATATGATTTAGGTCGGAGTTCAAGAAGCCAAGTACAAAAATTTATAGTGAAGACGTTCTTCCATGATCCAAATTAACTTTCCAATTAAAAGGTTCTCAGGTCTACTCAGAAGCCATATCTACTCAGAAGCAATTCTGATTCCTGAACAGAAGTTTATTTCTAAGGATGTCTTTGTTGTAGATGTGCAAATTTTATGCCTCTCACTGTCTTCATTATTCACTTGGCAATGCTGGTGTCGTGTGGGCTTAAAGATTGATTAATAAGGAGCTTAAACTGGAGGCATTACACTTACAAAAGGCTTTTTATTTATTAAATGTATATGGTGCCCACTTCACTGTTGCAGCTATTCTAGGTGGCTTACAAAACAATAAAAAGTTTTTTAAAAAGATAATACAAAGAGGAAAGGTGAGATGGGGTAGGGATCTTTTTTCTACCCTGTTAGTTACCCCCAGCATAAAGCATCCCTATCAGGGCCCCAGGCTAGCTGGCAGAGCCAAGTTTCAGGCCCTTTAGGAAGGCCAGGAGTATGGGGGCCAACCTCACCTCTGGCAGGAGAATATTACAAAGAAGCCACAACAGAAAAATCTCCTCTCTTGAATTCTGCCAGCCAAAACTTTTTGGCACATGGAATTCAAAGTAGGCCTTTTCAACTGGAGCAATTCTTATTCCTTCCTTCCTACTGTATTAGACCTTGGTTCTTAGCATTTGCTGGTGTCAGTTTCTCCTGTAAATTTATCTTCATTTTTTTGAGCACCTTCTAAGTTATGATAAAAGGGGTTGAACTTTATTTTTTGACATTTTAAACCTGCAATGGGCAGAGCAATAACATAAAAAATAGAATTAGATGTAAAAAAGATGTTGAGACTCTAGAAAGAGTACAGAGAAGAGCAACAAAGATGATTAGGGGACTGGAGGCCAAAGCATATAAGGAAAGGCTGCTGGAATTGGGTATGTCTAGTTTAACAAAGAGAAGGACAAGGGGGGACATGATAGCAGTATTCCAATATCTCAGGGGTTGCCATAAAGAAGAGGGAATCAAGCTGTTTTCCAAAGCATCTGAAGGCAGGGTGGAAACTAATCAAGGAGAGAAGCAACCTAGAACTAAGGAGAAACTTCCTGACAGTGAGAACAATTAATCAGTGGAACAGCCTGCCTCCAGAAGCAGTAAATGCTCCAACACTGGAAGTTTTTAAGAAGAGACTGGACAGCCATTTGTCTGAAATGGTGTAGGGTTTCCTACCTGAGCAGGGGGTTGGACTAGATGACCTCCAAGGTCCCTTCCAACTTTACTACTATTACTTATAATCAAGTCACTAGTGGAGCTGCAAATCAGTGAAAATGTGCACCATTGCTGTTTGTTATTGTTATTGCTGTTAATTCTTGAATTTGGCAGTACAGAATTGAGGGGTTCTAAAAGCCACAAAAAAGACATAGGCTATAAGTGACCATTCTAATTTAAACTATATATAGAGAAGGATTGACAAAGTTGATTGTACTCTGAAGCAAAACCATTAACAGTTGTACTCTCTTCAACATTGCACCTGAAAAATTGTCCATTAGTTTCAGAAACATATTGCAGAAATATTGCAGATATTGTGGTGGTGTGATGACTCCATAGCAAACATGATTGATTTCAGTTGGCATTTGCTCATTTGCAGCCTTCCTAAAATTGATCTCTGCCTTCGAAACCCTCAGCCTGCTAAATGTTGAAAGCTTTAGCATTTAGTTCGCTTGGTGCTCTTCAATCTGTCAAGATATTCTTCGTGGAGCAAGATGTTTGTTCAAGGAAAGCACAGAAATGAACACTAATGGCTTGAGATATTAGAATTAGACTGCTGCACCACTACAAAGCAAAGAGCAATCTTATCACAGGGAGGCAGGTGACATATGAGATGACAGAAGAAGTCTTTCCATCGGCAGCATTTATGATGCCCTATCTATCTTGCAAGCCTGGATTCACAGTGTTAACAAATTCTCACCTAGGAAGTCTCAGATGAAAACAAAAGACAAAATTGATATTGGTAGGCCTAACAAAGACAGAATGCGAGTTCCAGGATTTTTATTTCTTTCTAGTATTTCTGTTCAGGTATTTGACCAACCCACACAAGCAGGGAAAAAGAACTATGCTTATTTGATATAAGTATTTTATCATATATCACCCTGAGAATGACCAGCTATAGGATGGCTTATCAGTGTTATTTATAAATCTATAAAACCGCAAGCTAGCCAATGCAGCATTACAGCTGGACGAACTAGTTTTCAGATTTTGCTGCATTTAATTGTAAGCCATCAGATACAGAATAATAATAGGATTTACTATCTGGATCTTCGTATACCGAGTTATTTGATATACATTTGTACCCACATTCATTTACCTTCGCTCTTCAGAAAAGTTCATATCATTCTATCCTCTTTTTCTCTTTTTTGTTGCTCTCCAGAAAGGGGGCTGTAAGAAGATTAGGAAGGATATATTAAAGATGAAGTCAGCTTGTATACAAAAGAAGGCATGGAAACAATCCGAAAAAGAAATCTCTTGTGAAGCAAACTCCTGCACAGAATCATTATGGATGGCCCCAGCTCTATTTTAGTTGTGGGAAAGTATTATCTCCCTTAGGGATAATATTACGGTTATCTTGAGATGGGGGACAAAATGGAGAAGGCATCTAAAATGACTTTAACTTCATTAACTAGGGTAGAACACTGAAAGGTTTGTCTAGGCTTTAAAAGAAGAATAGTTTATTTCAATAAAAGCTGAAAAAGGAGGACACATCTCTCCAGAAATCTTATCAGGGTGTCTTCCCCAGATCAAGAATTGCAATGGCAAAATAAAGAGGATTTGACATGGTTTTTTTCTGATCCAAGTGCACTCTTCTGTTTCTCACATTAAGAAACACACCTGCACTGTTTGTAAAGAATGTGAGAGTAACTGTTCTGCTCCCTGCAGTTCCTTTCCATTCTGAGAATGACCTACAAGGCCCATACAATGATATAGGGAGCTTGATGGGCAATTTTCATTTCTCAGGGTGGAGAACTTACGGAAAATAACAAACTTTCCAGGGCTTCTGATGCTGCAACTTCTGGTAAATAATGAGAAATTTTCCAGGCTGTAGTTTCAAACTGATGCCTGCCGTGTCTGCTTACAGCAGTGTTTCCCAAACTTGACAATTTTAAGGCATGTGGACTTCAACTCCCAGAATTCCACAGCCAGCAATGGAATTCTGGGAGTTGAAGTCCACATGCCTTAAAATTGTCAAGTTTGGGAAACACTGCTGTAAGCAGACACGGCAGGCATCAGTTTGAAACTACAGCCTGGAAAATTTCTCATTATTTACCAGAAGTTGCAGCATCAGAAGCCCTGGAAAGTTTGTTATTTTCCGTAAGTTCTCCACCCTGAGAAATGAAAATTGCCCATCAAGCTCCCTATATCATATAATGGTAAAGCTGCAACAGTTTGTAAAGCTCTGGTCATTCTTAAACCCTATCTTTTTGGCCTTCATTTTTGTTGTCAGATTGGAACAACCCATCTGGGCTTCCTGGAAAGTAGAACAGATGCCAGATGTCACTGACATGGTTGCCAAGAATAGGATGCTTCGGTAGCATCAAGCTCTGTGTGTGCATAATTTAGCACAGGCAGCAAATTTCTAATGCGCTAGTTTTGTTCACAGCACGGATGCCTCATCCTCAGATAAATGGTCTGTCAATCACTGAAGACCTTTGTAGATTTATTGAAAGAACATCATTGGTTTCATATGGCAACATATCCTCCATTAAAGAGATCTTTGGCAAGATCCCAAAAATCAGGGCTTACTGCTTATCACCGTGAATTTATTTTGGCAGAAATTTGCACAATGCTTGGCTGCATTTTTTGCCTTTCGCTATAAATCTCACACATGCTTGAGCATTAAAATCCAACTAACAGTTGTTTTGACTATTCTGCCAGCTTCACTGTTTTAAGATGAAGCCCAGATAAGTTCATCCAGATGCTATGCCTTAAGAATGCTTCAACAGCATTGCCTGAATTTTAAAACAGTGTTTTGCCGTAAGCATTAGATAATAATTTCTTATAGTTCATCTGCAAGTAAAGTCAGAATAAAATTGTGAAAGAAATCCAGCAAAGGAGTAAAAGTCATTTCATTAAACATAAATGCTTCACATTCTAGTCATTTTTTTTAACCAAAAGTTATTTATGGAAGAATGAAAGGGAACATGCTCTCCATTTCTAAGCTCCCTTCAAGATCTGCAAGAATACTCGTCCCACACTATGATTTGTGTCATCAGGAGCCTTACACCAATAGGCACAAGAAATATGCGTGAAGTATCGTAACCACATAGTTGTAACTCATATGTTAAGCCATATATAATTATTACTTCTCTTCTAAAGCTGCCTGTCAAAATGGAAAGGTAGGGATATGAGAGTATATCCCAGACACCTTTCCCTGACTCTTGTTAAGGCCTGAACAAAGTCATCAATGTAAAAAATATAGTGCTCTATAAAACATTTTCTTACATTAAATCTGTTTTATAAAGCCAAGTTCCTAAATGCATTCTATAGGAACCACTATGTTAATTGAGGTTTGATTCTCTCACAGCAGTGCTTCAGTAGTTTACAGCTGCGTCTGAGTTTTCCTATCCTCATTTTATTCTGTAGGCACGCTTGTGATTTCTCAAATTGCAATCTTTACTTTAGTCTTTTTTTTTTGTCTTTACTTTTAGGAGAGCAGCTCCCTCTGCTGAATTTTCTGTGGACAGAACACGCCACCTTATGTCTTTCCTTACCATGCTAGGCCCCAGCCCTGACTGGAATGTAGGGCTTTCTGCTGAAGATCTGTGCACTAAGGACTGTGGATGGGTACAGAAGGTGATTCAGGATCTGATCCCATGGGATGCTGGCACTGACAGTGGAGTCACCTATGAGGTATCAGGAATACTTACCTCTTCCTAAAGTCTGTGCTGCTTTTATGACTGAATCATAAAAAAACTCATGGAAGATGTTCTCTAGGAAACATACTTGAAGGGTGAATCATATATCCCTAATAAACAGCTAAAATGTCATGTCTTCTGTTCCTAAGCATTTAGTTAGAAGTGGAGGGAATCAACATAATTTTGAGAGCTGATACACTGAACATTGCAGACTGAGTTTTGTTTATTGATCTTATGCTACTTACTCATTGATTTTATTGGCAAGGTTGAAAAATGTCTTTTTATCTGTAGCTTTGATGCATAAAATTAAAGGAATATAATAGTTTTATGCATGCAGTTATGACCAACTTTTTGCCTAGAAGGATCTGTAAGGCAAATTAGCAGGATTTTCCTGAAGCAGTTTCAGGGACACTAAACCAATCAAATTAATACTACTGGAATGATACTTCAAGAAAGATAACCTAGGTGCTAGGTTTTTTTTAAAAAAATGGCATAAATTATAGGTTAAGACCTATTCAACTTCTTGCTGACATTAGATATTATCATGAGAGATTAATGATGTTATAAGTATAAGCTTTTGCAATGATATTAACTGAAAACTGTTATTAAAGCTGCCTTGAATTTCATCTAAGGTTAAAAATATGCATTCATCCCACTTAGTGAGGGCTGCAAATTCAGTAGGAGGAATGGGAATACAACTGTCCTTTTCTTTCCTGCCCACTCTTCCCCTTCAGTTTTAGACTTTTCCATTTTGAATGTTCATTTGAGTCTAAACTTCAGTAAAGCTAATAGACTAAATCAGGACTGCTTAAAGGATATAATAGTATATCCCAAATGCTTACCAAGGCTAAAACCTTGACACAAATTTAGTGATGTTGTCTTAGGATAACATCTATTATTTGCAACTTTTTTCCACTTGTCTCTACTGTTATTCTGCCTCTCCTCTTGTTGCCTTTGAACCTCTCTCTATATATTTTGGGCTTTGTATCATGAACATGGAATAGGAGTGTTTGCCCGTGCATGCATCAAGAAGCTATCTCTAAATAATGGCCCTCTGGTCCTTCTTTGAAGACCTCCAGGGGAAGCGATCCCACTACAGTTCTACAGACTTTCCCACTACTTAGCAGTTCTTCACCTTGAAGAAATTCCTCTTAATATTCAGTCAGAATCTTCTTTCTTTTAATTCGATTCTTGTCCTACTCTTACTTTCAACAGAAACATGTCAGCCTTGTTAGTATATACAGTTATCATATCTCTGTCTTCTCTTTTAACCATTCCACATAGAGCTTAGCCTCCAAACTGTATAACATTCTGGTGCCTTTCCTCTGAACCCTGTCAAGCTTTTTCTTTTCCGATTTATTAAATAGTTCCCAGAATTAGATATCATATAGGACCCAAAATCATTCTGCTGACCTTCATTAAGAGCTTTCTTTGGATATCAGCATGTGTATATATTTCTTATTAGCTTTATGTATGACCCTGACCTTTCTTGAAGAGACTTTTTTATTTAAGTTTGACTACTAGTATTTTCATCGTTCCATCAAGGAAACAGGTTGATGTTTGCAACAGGTGTAAGGGATATCCCAAAGATGCTTTTCCATGAGGCAACTGGACGTTCTTGTTTTCCTTTGAAGATGTTTCACTTCTCATCCAAGAACCAGTTGCCAAGCATCTGAATTTTGACCACAATGATCATAGGTTTTTTTTTTAACTTTGAACGGTCACTAAATGAACTGTTGTAAATTGAGGACTACCTTTATTTGGTCCATCTCCTTGGTCCAACTTCACACTGCAGTGAATTCTGAAAAGTCAATAAATTCTGCTGACTGTAGATCAATAGACAATAACTACTTCTAACATCCAGAATGCCTTGCTGTCACTGTGTATGCTTAAGGAACAAGATGTAATATATCTAGGAATAGAAATACAAAATTCTTTTTTATATAGAAAGTAAAAACGCACATGTTGGGAGAATTGAATGTGTATTTCAGATATAAATCTATTTGTTGAACTATAAAATGACTTGATTTTATTGATAAACTCATGACTTATATACAGTACAGAATAATTGGTTAATAAAGGTATGTTTGGTGAATGAGATTGAAAATGTAGCTTATTCAAGCAATACAATATGTGTATTGAATTTGTTTGAAAGTATTGCAAATGGAGTTACACTTTGCTGAACTGAACTCTCAAGACTGTACTTTCTCCTTTGGGGTTGTTTAGGAGAATTTCAGAAAACAAAAAGTTATCTGTATTATAGAAAAACAAATCAAGCTAGGATATCTGGACTTCATCCTCTATTGCATTATCCAGACAGAGGAAACAGTGGGTTTTTTTGGGGGGGGGACAAAAGGAGGAAGGGAAGGAGATCGCTGACATAATGCCATGCAATGATTCTAGGCAGCTCACAACAATCTATTAAAAAAAAACATAGTTAAAAACAAAAAATACTCTTCTCTCCAGACATCAGATATTTCAGATCTGAATGGGAAATTTTATATATGTAACATTTGTAGTGTCCCACTCATGATAAAATAATTACTTCCCTCTTTATCTTTCTTAACTAGCCAAATTAGGAACTATTTTCATCTGCTAGAGCGCAGAAGAATATGTTCAAACAAATACGTTTCTAATGTTCGGTTGGCAAAAGCAAGCGATTTTGAAGGCCATCTGATGAGCATAGACTGAAAATACTTTCTCCCCATTTACGAACATTCATGCTGAGATAACCAGTGCCATATGCCATTTTCTACTCAGAGTTTCTTTGGAACAATGCAGAGATTTCCCTGGTTCACAACAGGAAAGTTGATATCTTACTCTTCTGTCATTGTATTGCTCTGTGTGACCTTATCAAACTTCCTGACTACCATCATTTTCTGCTATTTAGCAAAATTATTGTTTTCAAGTGCTTTATTGCCTTTCTCCTGGATATTATTTGAAGGATTTTTCCCACTCTCATCATTTCATTTTTTTTTAATCTCAGGGTTTACTATGTAATATTAAGTCATGTCTTACTTTAGGTCAACAGTTCCCAATTTAAGGTGCTATAATGTATTACTTACTTCCTCTCTCAGTCAGTAATAAATCTCAGTAGAAATTGAGATTAAGACTGCTTGTTAACTACAATAACATTTGTTGTTAAGCTTTGAAAGTGGTCAAAAATAATAAGGATGAATAAATTCAAAAATTCACTTAAAAATTAATAAACGGAAGCATTTTCCTGTCTTTCCTTTCCATACCGTGTCGTACACTATACAAGCGTGGTGGCATTTGAAGCTTTCTGAACAGAGGAAAAGTATTTTCTTGCATTGACAACTTCCACTAAAAGGAAGATACTATGACTGAGTTTCCTGGCCTGATCCTTTGGGATAAGTTTCTTTGCAGCAGGGCACCCATTGAACTAAAAATTTACTGATTATATTTCTTAGTTTCTTTCAATTATGATTGATTAGCATTTAGCAGTCCCCTGTGAACTAACAGAATTGAACTGCCTTAAATAGGCTTATAATTAAATAAGCATTTGCAATAACGCACTTTTTTAAATAATTGAAGAAATAAATAAAAATGCTACCAATCACTGAAGAACATGAAACATTCAACTAGGTCAGGCCCAAAAGTAAGAATAACACATGATAATTATTCCAAGATGAGTTCTTTATTGTTTCATACTTATAGACAAAGTCTTGTCAGACTGAAGACTCTAATGTCCTCATCTACAATATATTTTGTGAACTATTAGGGAGGGACTGTCTTCACTCTCTGTTTCTCATACATAATATCTGGGCTGAATTGCCTCTTATTCCTCTGGAATGCACCCCCTCCCTCCTGGGAACCTGCCTCATCACTGCATCACAGATATGCAGCTGAAATTAAATTCTGATAATACAGGATCCAGTGACAGTCACTCTCCAAAGCCAAATGATCTGGACTTGAAAGTGAAGTTCCTACACTTCAACAAACCAACACACTAGTCATTCATTTAGCCATAGGGACAAATTGCAAGTGACACTTCCACCGCATCTGTTTGCTGCCTTAATGGCATTAGTGAGGGGGGAAATAGCTAATGTAAGATATACTGAAGAAACACTTTTTTTATAAGACTGCTTAACAGTTGAAAAATGAAACAGAATGGGCAAGGGATAAGGTACGGTGGATAATGTATTTGACTGGCACCAGAGTGAGCCAATTTCCATTCCATCTATAGTCACAGCAACTCACTTAGTGACTTTCAGCCCAATTTACCATACAGGGTTATTGTATGGGTAGAGACGCTTCGAAAAAGATGGTCTCTCAGGTAACCCAGTCCTAAGCCATGTTTAAAGGCCATGTTTAACCAGCACCTTAAATTGCACTCAGAAACACACCCGCAGACAGTGCAGCCCACAGAGTAGTGGTATTACATGTGGCATATAGCCAGCACCATTTATTACTTGTACAAGCACATTTTGTACCAGTTGAATTTTCCACATTTTCTTCAAGGACAGCCCCATGCAGTGTGCATTACGGTAATTTAAGTGGGAGGTTAATGTCCATGTTCATGGAACTTCATCTCCATCTTATCTATTTTGATCTCTCCCACCCATCCCCAAATACTGTTGTGCCTATATAAACAATAAAATCTATAAACTAGTCCTACCAATTAAGACTGAGAAGACTTTTGGGCAAGATAGCTTTGATGAAAAAAAGCTAGTAAATGGTGCCTAGAAATAATAAGTAGATACCTGTACCTCCTGTTTAGTTAAGATTAAACTACGCTGAGCCATTAAAATGCATCTGAAAAATCTGCATTTTTACAGGACTGAAAGTGCTTTGTCTTTAGTAGCACCTTGAAAATATGTATCATTCATAGCATCTTCCTTGTTCTTCATCGCCACAAAGGAAAATAAAAATCCCAAGAGAAGGTAGAAGCTGAAGTTGGCTTAGCAAATGAAAGCCACTGCCATTCCATTTGAACTTTACTTCTTTATTTTCAAACTGAAAGATAGAATAAGCAAAATTGGTAATAAATATACACAGCATGAGAACTTTTTTTGGTCTTTCAATCATTCAACTTGAAATTATTCAGTAAATTTGAAATTGCTTATGAATACCTGCACACAAAAATCATAGAAGCTATGATTTCAGTACATCTTTTCTGATATTTAGTTTTTGTATCAATATTTATTTTCCTGTGTGAGTATCAAAACAGTTAATGAGAAAAGAATAGAGGAAATGAATATTTGGATACCCCTGTATGATTTTCTCCTTGCTATATAGATAGGGAATTAAAAAAAATTGCCCAAAATTGGAGAAAAAGACGCAATTGATTTAGGGAATGTGGTTGTTTTTGTCTTAATTTTCTGTGATTCTAAAGTAAGACCTATTAAGCTAATTCCAGGAGCTTCTATTATATGAAGAGTCTTTTTTCTTATTGATCAGACATAAGTGCTATTGAATTATTTTTATTGGAGCCTTTGTTTGCTAGTTGGTTGGTTAGTTTTCTGTAATACGATGTCTTTGTGTTTTATTGCCTCCTGGATGGCGTTAGCAGAGTTGAAAACAAAATGAATATATTTCATTTATTCACAGGCTAACTATGTCTTTTCATCTTATGTAAGTAATTGGTATCTGGAGAAGAATACTCATGTCTAATGAATGTGTCATCCTGTGCAATGGGCACTAGACATGAAAACATTTCCTTTTTATTTATATTATTTTATTATAAGTGACACATTTAAATATAGATGTTTTGTTTTAACTTATTAGGTGTATGATAATATAACAGCATAGGAATGTTGCATGAATTTTTATTTACCCTTAAGTTAAAAGTAAAGTCTCCCTTGGGTTAAGTTCATCTTTTAATGACTTCATAGACACATCCATGGAATTTTATAGGTAATAATAGTACAGAAGTTTGCCATTACCTTTTTCTAGGATTTCTTGGGAATTTCTCATCCAAGCTTAACAAGATTAGTCATGCAATTCTATTTACCCCTAGATTAAAAGGGGTAAATAGATTAAAAACTATCTTCTGAAAAAACATCTTCAGTTTTGAGGTAGATTTCTTTTTTAGCTTGGATATTTGCCAAAGCAGGAATACAGACAGCTGTGATGGGATATGTATATGGTTCAGGGGGGGGGGGTCTGATTTTAAAAGATAGGGACATAGAGCTGTCCTTTTTATAAATCCTCTTATTCAGTTAAAGACAGCATGAAGCAATTTCAGCCAAGCTTTATCAGCAGTTTTACTTCTCTGGCTTTGGGCCTCTCTAAATGTGTCACCCATCAAAATTGGTAAATCCACACCATTACTATCATCAGCACCCTGTCTCTTAGAGTATTGTTTCAAGAATGTTTTTTTTTTCTCTTCAAAGTCTAGCTTTCTGATTCAGTCAGTCTATGCCTATAAATATATGCATCTTATGGACCTATAGTAAGTTCAACATATCTGTTCACTGAACATATGCAAACAGCAAACACTGGGGTAGTAGTTAAGGCATCAGGCTAGAAACCAGGAGACTGTGATCTTTAGTCCCTGCTCAGGTACTAAGCCAGTTGGGTGACCTCAGGCCAATCACTTTCTCTCAGCCCTAAGAAGGAGGCAATGGCAAATCACTTCTGAAAAATCTTGCCAAGAAAACTGCAGGAACTTGTCCAAGCAATTTCTGAGAATCAGACACAATTGAATAGAAAAAAATAAAAATTATATATACACTGATCTCTGTGAAAAAAAAAAAAAAACCCTTATACACTGGCCAGCATTTCTACATTAATCCGATTGGCAGGCTCATTGTTTGCTGACTTTTTTGGATCTTTGTTCTCAATAACTTTGATCTTATTAACTTCTGTTATTTTCAAGGTCATTGATAGCTTTCTGCAATGAATAGAAAGATCCTACGACACATTTCAGCACAGTTCTTCAGGTAGGGCCCCACTTGTCCACAAAATAATCCAAATCAAATTTACCAATCCATATTGGATTTTACTGGAATCAGGTTCAGAGCCAGTTGCTGTGTATTTCAGCCATCTTAGCTGCCAGTCATTACCTCTCTTTACAGGTTTTTCCTTCCCAAAATCTTCTCTGATGATATTTAACTTCATTGCTAACCCCAGCTGAGTTCCAAGGAAAACTTTGTTATGAGATTCTAAGCTCTGTTTGTTGGCAGTGACTAGAAACTGCCTCGTCTGCATGGATACATGGATATGCCTTGCCAGTGAGATGCAGTGGTTGAGAGAGACTCATCACGGCAGCCATTCTTCTGAGCTGAAAAATTTCTCACAAACTCTGACTGTAGAAATTAAATCATAGGATTGACTCATCAAAAATAAGAGAGGATGAAAATCTAGCTTCTCTTTTCTCAGCCTATTCTTTATAGCATGTTAATATCAATGTGTTAATCAATGTAATTCCATTAATTATGATAGCGTAATATATATTAGATTACATTGAAATCATTGAGCATTAAGTTAGTCATGCATATTTAAGTTATCCCATTTTTTCCATTTGCCAACTTCTCTCTCTCCCTCTCCCTCTCTTTCTGTGTGAGGGTGGGGAGGTGTGTAAACTCTGGGTCCAAACAACGTTCATGAAAGTTTACCTGCAAATTTTTTGTATACTATATTTTTCATTGTTGTGTTTCTTCTATGTCTGCCTATGCTTCTTTTTTGACTGCAGTCCTCCAACAAGCCAACAGTACCTCAGGAGAAGATAAGACCGCTCACAAGTCTAGACCACCCCCAAAGTCCTTTTTATGACCCTGAAGGAGGTTCCATTAAATCAGTAGCCAGAGTTGTCATTGAGAGGATTGCACGAAAGGTATTAGTATGAAAGTTCACTTAGCAACTGATATGGAATATTTGAGCATAGAGTGGGATGAAATAGCAAGAAACCTGAAATCTGGTAATAAAATGACAAATGTAGTTCAACTTGTTTTCATAATGGGAGTGGAGTTAACTGGCTGTGCATGCTGGGTCAGTAGAGATGTAAGGGACCTCATTCCTTAGAGCAGGTGTCTCCAATCTTGGCAACCATACTACTCGTGGACTTCAACTTCCAGAATTCCTCAGCCAGTTCTTCCTCAGTGCTGGCTGAGGAATTCGCTTCCTTTCCACTCAAACCCCAAGGAATGCAAAGAAGCACAAATCAAAAGTTTAAGGCCCTCAGAAGCACAAGAGGAGAGTTCCTCAGAGCTGCAGAAGTTGTTTCCAAAGTGGAATTTTACCAAGATAGCAAAGGTGAACTTCTGAAAAGCAAGACTAATCAAATTCATTTTATTTCATTTTAATTAAATTTAAGGATAAGTGAAATTAAATTAAATTTAGTTCCTGCCTTGATTGTACTTCATCAAAAGCTAACTCCAGCTCTGAGGCTGGAAAAGATTCTGCAGCATAGCATTCAAAAAGGAAAGAAAAAAGCCCTGTAAAGCAAGATCAAGGCTCATTACTTAATAAGAACATTTTCTAGCAAGTTAATGGTATAATGATGCTATGTGTCACAGACAGATCTTACTTGCAGCAGAAATCTGGAGCATATTCCTTCATTAGTTATATGCAGAATTTTAGGGCTCCCTAGGCATGATAGAAAACAAGTGGGCCCCCTAGCCACTTCTCCTTAAACGTTACTTTCTAGCAACAACAAGCTTTTAGATGTGACATTATCTCTCCCCACCTCCCCAGTCCTCCCCCGGCACTTTTTTTTTCAACAAAATGCTGTTTGCATCTTAGCTTGTTTTGCAAGGGAATAAAACCTTCTCTTGCCAATTAGAAACGCAATACCCTCATAGGATTTTCTTTAGGATCTGCGTTTTCCATGGGCCTGATGACAGCTGCAGGCTTTATAAGCATGAATGCTTGTAGATGCCATTTGAATAACTTCTGGCAATTGATTTTCCAGGCCAGTGCCCAGCACTGCATTCTTTCCTCTGCCAATTCAGCCCTTTGCGAATGTTTCTTTGCAGGGGGAACAGTGCAATATCGTTCCTGATAGCATCGACGACATTGTTGCAGATCTTGCTGCAGAAACTCCAGAAGATGAAGGTACTCTTTAATTATGTCCTACCTTTATGAGTTTGTGTTTCACTTCACTCTCCAGTGCTGCTGCTGCTCTGTATTTCATGCTGTTTGCCACATTATTAGGACAGTATTAAAAATAGGAAGGGAAAAAAAATCACTTGCTTAGCCATTTATGGTTGGAGTCTGCATCATTACTTAATAAACACCCACAGTGATAGTGTCAGCAGGCAGAAAGTTTGGAAATGGCACCATGCTAATTTAGCAGAAGACGAATCTCACATACTTTATTATCTCGCACTGGGTTGATCTTCATCCCAGCTGTACTATTTTCCTTATCTAACTGCTCCTCTTTCTTACTTATTATTGGGCTTAGCCCAAGAACGACATTGAACAATCCAACCAAAGTTCAGTTCTTTATATGCTTACACACAATAGATAGAACGCAATGGTGACAAATGTCTGTAACTCGGATATAGGATGAGGGTGGAGGTGCATTCTCTGTGCTTGTTGGGTTGGTTTCCAAACATTTTGTTACCAGGTTAGGTAACATCTTCAGTGGAGTTTAGGGGATGTCAGTGTTGGTGTTCTTCTGCTTATAAGGGCTTCTTATGGTCAGTAGGTTTTGTGATGGGGAGGTCATGTCAGGTGAGGGTCACCCCCTCCCCAACCTCAGGTGAGGCAATCCCCCCAACCAGAACTTCATCTCCCAATGACCCTCATCTGATGTGATTCCCCATCATAAGGCCCATGTATGACCCTTATTTGATGTGACCCATACCTGACCCATCACAAGACCCATCACAAGACCTACTGACCACACAAGCTTAGAAAATGAACCTCCACCCTCAATAAATAGAATTTTGCCAAATTGAACCCTTATTGCTTTCAACCCAACATATATACCCTGGGAGATTCTAGCTATCCTAACCCTCTTCCTCTGTCTCCTACCCAGCTCCAAGCTGTGCTGCTTCTTGTTCCCACTCCTCCTTCTTGGAATATGCTCCCTTCTTTCTGGGAAACTGCTGCTTCACTGTAGTCCATCATCCCAGCTCTCCCTCTGTAGGCACCATCCCTCATATCTTTTTAGTTTTCCATTCCAATCTTTCTTTCAAACTTTAGTTTGTTAAAAAATATATTTATACATCTAGCAGTCAACTGGAGACTGCTCTAGGAAGGGCAAAAGTAAGGCTAGAGTAGAGTACCTCTTCTGCAGGCAGAAAGTCTCCGGTACAGTACCTAGTGTGTCCATTAAATTATATTGAGTAGAGAAGTAATCTTTAAAAAGCTAAGTTTAATTGTTTGGCAGGATTATTCTAATTGGGTTTAAACACGGTCAATACTTTTGAACTGAAAATGTTCATATGCATACAAAAGAGTGCAAGTAAAGATTTTAGGTAAGCAACATAGCATCATTAAGAAAAGAGTTGTGAAAAACAAAGTAAGCACAAGGCATGCAAGGTCAACAATAAGTCAAAACCTAATTTGTTGTCCAGCCTATTAAATGTGGACAGTAGATTTCATAGCTTAATTGTACAGTAATCAGATTTATGTATGTGTGTGTGTGTGTGTGTGTGATCACAGTGTACAATTAAACTATGAAATCTATTATGTCTCCGTATTGTACCGTAAATGCCAGCGTATAAGACGACTTCCGCGAGTGCTGAAATCGGCGCCAAAGACGGGGGTCGTCTTATACGCCGAGTCGTCTTATACACCGGAAATACGTTCTAGGAATGCAGCCCGGCTATACAGACGGGGGTCGTCTTATACACCGGGTCGCCTTGTACGCCGGCATTTACCGTATACATATACGTATATGTATACCTCTACTGTGTGGTGATCTTTACACCACACATATATCATTCACACATACATACATACATACATTTACAAACATGCATACATACATATACATGCATACATACATACATACATACATACATATATATATTATGCGGGAGAAAACCCGAACAACCAAAGACCTACATACAAACACCTGCGAAAACCTCAGAAAACATATATATATATATACATATACACATACACACACACACACACACACACACACACACACACACACACACACACATATATATATATATATATATACCTAATAATTATAAAAATACGAATCCCAGGCATATCTGTACAATAGTATCAAATCCTCGAACTCTGGGATGAATATAAAACAGCTGTTTATTGTTGAAACAACAAAAACAATAAAAACAACTATTTACAAATCTAAAATAACCTTAGCTTTCACTGGTCCACTGCCAGCGTCATCAGAGTGATGACACCAAACACTCACTCTGATAACACTGGCAGTGGACCAGCGAAAGCTAAGGTTATTTTAGGTTTGTAAATAGTTGTTTTTATTGTTTTTGTTGTTTCAACAATAAACAGCTGTTTTATATATATATATACACACACACACACACACACACACACACACACACACACACACACATATATATATATATATATATAATATTTGTCATTGTTTTCAGATGATACTCCTGAAACTTGCATCTATTCGAATTGGTCTCCCTGGTCAGCCTGTAGCTCTTCCACATGTGAAAAGGGCAAACGGATGAGGCAGAGAATGCTCAAAGCCCAGCTTGACCTCAGCGTGCCTTGTCCAGAAACTCAGGACTTCCAGCCTTGTATGGGTCCAGGCTGTAGTGATGAAGGTAGGTGAGAAGACTTTGGACATGAGAATCAACATTTTGTTGATCAAATGTAGGTGAGGTTTGGGAATAAATGGAAACTATCTATTGTTGCTTTTTAGATGGCTCTACATGCATGATGTCAGAGTGGATAACATGGTCCCCTTGTAGTGTATCTTGTGGCATGGGAATGCGATCGAGAGAGCGATATGTGAAGCAGTTCCCGGAGGATGGCTCCATGTGCAAAGTGCCTACAGAGGAAACTGAGAAATGCATTGTAAATGAAGAATGTTGTAAGTATTTGATGCATCCTGCCACACTTAATCAACCTAAAAGCAGAATGTGAATCCTGTGTTAAATAAGTGCCACTAGACTGATCTTTTGCTAATATATTATGGACAGCTCCTAGCAGTTGCCTGGTAACCGAATGGGGAGAATGGGATGAATGCAGTGCCAGCTGTGGGATGGGAATGAAGAAGAGACACAGAATGATCAAGATGACCCCGGCAGATGGATCCATGTGCAAAGCAGAAACCACAGAAGCTGAGAAATGCATGAATCCCGAATGCCGTAAGTAACTGGTCAATTTAGCAACCATGTTAACGTTCTTGTGCACACATCATGTGTTTATATAAAATGAACAATGCTATGTGCAAATGATACATGCAACAAGTAACACAGTTCATCATTTGTATACTTTCTAATAGGTTTCTTCACAATGTAGACTTCTAAAAATTTTCCATAACGAAGTAGCCATTTCAAACCAAAAGCATATAAAAGTGTACAATTGTATTGACCGCAAGATGCAAGGGAGCAATCAGCCTAAATAGTTGACGTCAGAATATTCTAGCAAATCATAAGCCCTGTAGCTTTTAAGACAACGAGAAGTGAGAAGTGCTTTCCTGTTTTTTTTTCAGTTTTATTTAAATATGCTACTTTTTGTACACATACACAACCCACATATATGTACATCCCTACACCACACATTATGCAGTCGCATATACACACTCCCGATTTGCTTTTCTTAGCAGAGTAAGATCATAACATAACATTTTCATACATACATGTTATTGTAAATATAACTTGTTGTTGAGGGGAAAAAATATAATGTCAGAGGCAAGTGCCAGTTCCCTCACCATCATTTTCTCTTCTTAAAAAAAAAAAAAAAGCATCAGGGCCATGAACTCCATCAAGATCATCATGCTGAAGGAGGGAGATTAATTTATGTATTCCAAGAAGTCCTTCAGTACAAACCTTTTTTCCAAAAGTGTGTATTTAGTCACAAAAAGGAAGAAAATGTTACCTGAAGGGACAATGAGTAAATTTTAGAAATAGCAATAGCATTTAGGCTTATATACCACCCCATTGTGCTTTACAGCACTCTCCAAGTGGTTTACAACATCAACATATTGCCCCCAACAATCTGGGTCCTCATTTTACCAGCCTCAGAAGGGCAGAAGACTGGAGCCCTATCAGGATCGAACTCCAGAGTGCCGGCAGAGTTTGCCTGCAAATACTGCATTCTAACTACTGCACCACCACAGTTCAATCCTGACTGGGCTCAAGATTGACTAATTAATTGCCTACAATCTAGGGGTCAAAGCTTATATACTCACTGCAAATTTGGTGGTGGAGGAAGATGCCATTGTGAAAGTAGGAATCTGTGCGTGAGGTGCAAATAATGAAAGCAAATGGCTGGAGTAGAGAACAAGCCACTGCCATCACGTGAAGGAGGAAGGCTGAAATTCCCTGCTTGCCTCTCATCATCCATAATGTATGCACTGGAGAGTTTCTTTTACCCATGAAGGCTTTTCATATGGATGAGGTTTCAGGAAAATGAGAATCCTTGGTGCAGCAGCTAGATAGAAAGGGTTCCCACTTATAGCCAATTACAATTGAATGAGAAAAATACTCCTTCATAATATGCAGATGGAAGAATTGGAGTGAGCATTCTAATTAACTGAATAAGAAGACACACATTCAGTGCAGTGAGACTTGCTACAGAATGAACATTTGCAGCACAAAGGCCCCCATTCACTGTTTTCTTGTTGAGAACTAAAGGAAAACTTCAGCTCAATCCTTCAAGGATCTGTTTCCTAGCTTCCATCATTATTTACAAGGAATAACCAGAACTGAAAAGATCTGTGACCAACTTACTGATAGGCGGCACATTTAATTGGAAACAAGAGCCATCAAATTCAATAGGACTTACTTACATAAGAAGCCTAGCTTTATGATTGTTATGCTCAGTTTTATGCAGTTTCTTTCTCTGGTTGAATGGGTAATATGTGCAAGAAAGTAATTTGTAAGAGACAGAATGGTCTCTGCATATATCCTGGTAGGACATCAATTAATTTTGGAAAGAGGGAGTCTTATTCTACAGGCAATTAATTTTGATCAATAGCCATTAATTCTACCCCCCATCCCACCCCCCCTGGGAGTATGCCTTTTAATATATGTGTATGCATATTTATACACGTTCATAAGTATGCATATTTGCTGGGGGGGGGAATAATCCCCAGGACGGGTTTCAGTGAGTGGTGACATTTCTATTAACAGAGAAGGAAGATTGTTACATGTGAGCAAATATTTTTATGTCTAATCTTTGTTGGATGACAAATATTACCACCACACTCCAATCAGCAATTAACAGTACCTACAGGAGCCATTGAAACCAGGGAAAAGGCTTTATTAATGTCAACCCTTTACCACTGATCCAACCCAGGAGAATACATCAGGAAATCTAATCAGAGATATCCAGCATTGTATGAGATAGAGTGATTTGCAAGAAGAATATCTTAGACCAGTCTCTTTTAGGAATAAATTATGAATATTGGAAATGAGAGGTGACAGTCTCAGATTGAAGAAATTCTTAAAGCACCCACTTTGTTGTTAAAGCAGATCTGCCAGCAATCTGCAGCAAAATATAGCCTGGAATCATTAGATCAGTGGTTCTCAACCTGCGGGTCGGGACCCCATTTGGGGTCGAACGACCATTTCACGGGGGTCGCCAAACAATGCAGTCCGCCATTTTTTCCCCTTTTCCTTAGCTGTGCTACTCCCTTTTATTCTATTGGCTTTCAAAAGCCAATAGGAATTGTCCAGGCTGTCTCTGCCCTGTTGAGCCCACCAAAAGTCCCATTCTGCCAATGGTGCTGCACCAGTTGAATAGTCCTCGACTTACAACTGGTTGAGTAGTCCTCGACTTACGACCGGTTGGGGGTCGCGGCATTAAAAAGGTTGAGAACCACTGCATTAGATGCTGGAAGACCAGTACACATTTCAATCCAGTTTCATTTCAGTCTTTATCAAGTAGCTATCCTTTCCCGTGATGAGTGGGTGGATGGATCAGTTGATCATCAGATTGATCACCACTTGTAGATTAGCTGTTGAAGTGGAATGATCTCATCCTCTTTCCCATCCCAACCTGCACTAGATACCATTCCCTGCCTGCTTTCTCCTTGGTCTGAATGGAGCGACTGCAGTGTCACTTGTGGAAAAGGGATGAGGACCAGGCAAAGGATGCTAAAATCTGCTGCGGAGCTTGGAGATTGCAATGAAGAACTAGAACAAGTAGAGAAATGCATGCTGCCAGAGTGTCGTAAGTATATGGTTGGTTTATTCCTTCTATTCCACACAACAGACAGGCAGAAATGTATTATGTACATTACTCTTCCTATATGATAGCCATGTATCGGCAAGCATGACACATTGTTTTGTTACTGTAAAGCAGGGCTTTTCAACCTTTTCACAGATTGTACCACTTTTAGGATACAGCAATATTCGAGTTCCAGTCGCCTAGCAAGGTGTCAAAAACTTGACCCCCCAAAAAAAGGAAAAAAGTGATAAAGTACAGGTAGTTTGCTTAGTGACTGTTACAACAACACTGAAAAAAATCACTTTTTTCACACTTATGACCATTGCAGCATTCCCCAGGGTCATGTGATTTACATTCGGATGCTTGGCAACTGATTCATATTTATGACGGTCGCAGTGTCCCAGGGTCATGTGATCCCCTTTTGCAACCTTCTGACAAGCAAAGTCAATGGGGAAACCAGATTCACTTAACAACCAGGTTACTAATTTAACAACTGGAATGATTCACTTAAGAAATGTGGCAAGAAAAGTTGTAAAATGGGACAAAACCCATTTAACAAATTTCTCACTTGGGCTCAATTGTGGCTGTAGGTTGAGGACTATCTGTACACGCACTTACCACACTTTTTTTTAATGTTTTTTATTTATAATACAATTAAAACAAAAATGGACAAGCATGACATTCCAGAGTAAGTATTCCTAATAGTTTGTTTCTCATGGTACAAAAACTTAATACATCATTCTTAACCTCATCCTTCTATGTAATACATAGAAGCCTCATCCTTCTATGTAATACAATTAAATATACAATTATATGTACAGTTATATATATATTTCAATCCTATCATTAACTTGAAATCCGAGCAGTTCTTCTTAATTCATACCAACGGTAAAATTTGTCCCAGATTTCGAAATATTCAAGTTCTGTCTTGTCCTTCATAATCATTGTAACCCTGTCCATCTCAGCACATGAAAGGATTTTATACAGGATCTCTTCTACCGTTGGAATTCCTTTATTCCTCCAATTTTGAGCAAAAACCAGTCTGGAAGCCGTTAGAACAGTGGTTCTCAACCTTTTTATATGGTGACCCCAGTCATAAGGACGCGCCGCGCATGCGCGGCGCTGCCCCCTGAGGGAAAAAAATGGCAGATTGCATTGTTTGGCGACCCCCGTAAAATGGTCGTTCGACCCCAAATGGGGTCACGACCCACAGGTTGAGAACCTCTGTGTTAGAATGTGTAACATTAAATAAAGTACGCCTTTGTCGTACTTTTGTGTGGTTATACCTAATAGGAAAAGTTCTGGTTTTGGCTCTATCGCTCACTCTAATATTTCTTCCAACCATTCTTTGATCCTATTCCAAAAATCACGAGCTCGCGTGCACTCCCACCACATATGATAGTATGTTCCAATTGTCAGATTACATTTCCAACATTTTGAGGAGACATTGAAACACATTTTAGCTAATCTTACGGGGACTTACCACACTTTTAATGGGAAACTTGTGCCTGTTTCTCTGAAATTAATCTTTGCACTGTTCTATCCCTTTCTCTCCCTCTGCTTGTCTCAAAGAAGCCTCTCCTCTTCTCTGTCTCTCTTTCTCCTTCCCTTCTCTTTCCCAGTTATCTTTTATATCTTTCCCTTTCCCTCCAAAACCTCCTCCTTTTATATCCTCTCCTCCCCACCCTCTTCCTCTTCTTCTGTTCGGTGCAACTCCACCTGACTCCTCTCTCCCAGGCTGTGCGCTTCTCCATCTCTCTTTCTCCATCTCTTCTCTTTCCCCGTCTTTTTTTCTCTCCCTTTCCCGCCAAAATTGCCTCCTTTTATATCCTTTCCTCTCTCCCCCCCTCCTTTTCTCTTCGGTGCAACTTCAGCTGATTCCTCTTCCCCTGGCTGCTACCAGAAGTACCAATCAGCTGGAGCCATGCGTTGATCAGCAACACCGCAGTTTCAGCTGACTCTCCCACAGGCCTGTGCAGCGCTGCCGCCCCTTTAGCTCATCCCCCCACTACACTTTCACACTTTTTTTACAGTGCTTTTCAACCCATCGTATGCGTACTACCTGCCAGGTACTGAAGTACCACCAGTGGTACACGTACCATGGATTGAAAAGCACTGCTGTAAAGCACCATTTGCACGCCAGAAACCAATTCCTAACATTTTCCCAGGTAGTACATATATAGAAAAAAATGGCCTCTTTTTCAAGAAAGTGTGCAAAAGGACCTAATCATTGCTAAAATGAGTCATGCCATATTAGCATAACTCTGTTATATATTATAAACATTTTTCCTTACCTTCAAATTAAGTTTCTATGGAAAAATTCAGGAACATGACAAAGTAGCATTTTAAAGTAGCAATGCAAAATGACTAAATTGGTGCCATTCCAGATTGAAAAAGTCTGATGAATAATTGAATGTTATTTCACACATATTTTCACAGTAATTTTTATAAAGAGCACCATCTGTCAATCATTGGAATCAAGGTTTGCCCCCACCCGACTCTAGTCTTTTTCCTCCAATCTCCTGCATTTTCCCCTCCATATCCTTTCTATAAATCTGCTCCAGAGTTAATTTCTGGTGGGTGATAATTTTTAATAGGATGGTGTGAATGTACTGCTGTCAGAGCTTAGTGAAAAGGTGGTCTTGCAAATGCATTTTCAGTGTAAGCTTGTTTAAAATTCATTCCGTGTTATCATCAGTCTAAATGTTCATTTTTTTCATAGTGAGATTAAAAAGAAGTAAATTATTGCTCTGCCAAACCAGATTGTTCTGCCTAAGTAAGTTAAGGCTAAGCGTCTTATTTTTTTTCATCCTCTCTTCTTTAGCAATTGACTGTGATCTGACAGAATGGTCTCAGTGGTCTGAATGCAATAAATCTTGTGGGAAAGGCCATATGATCAGGACAAGAATGATCAAAATGGAACCTCAGTTTGGAGGAGCTCCATGCCCAGAAACTGTACAGCGTAAAAAATGTCGAATAAGGAAATGCTTGAGAAACCCCAATATTGAGAAAAGGCGCTGGAAAGAATCTCGGGAGAAAAGGAGGAGTGAACAAGCGAAAGAAGATGTAGACGGCGGGCAATTCCCAGGTAAGTGTAGTGAACCTCACAGAGCAATCCTTAAATTAAGAAAGTGAGCTGTGCAACATAGAAGTACATTACTGATTTATATTCTTATTGGTACAGCTTCTTTCAATGATCCTTAATGTTTTTCATCGTGCTTGGGTTTAGATCACTGAACAACTATAGATAACCAAATCAAGGAAATCCTTCCTTCCTTCCTTCCTTCCTTCCTTCCTTCCTTCCTTCCTTCCTTCCTTCCTTCCTAGGGGTCAAGACTGACCCAAAGGTGGAAAGGAAAGGAAAGGAAAGGAAAGGAAAGGAAAGGAAAGGAAAGGAAAGGAAAGGAAAGGAAAGGAAAGGAAAGGAAAGGAAAGGAAAGGAAAGGAAAGGAAAGAAGGATATCCTTAGGTAGGCTGCTGTTAAGTTCCAAAATAATCCACTACATGACTCAGAATATTACTATATTAGATACTATAATCACAAACAGACCATATGAAAATGTTAGATGATTCAGACCAATTAGGACTTTTTCAGCAAATACAAACTTCATCCCCTGGAGTAATCTGTAGAATCTCATGGTTTATAGATCTTATCTTTCCATTTTTGAAATAGGAGTAGCAATAGAACCACCGCTTGTGAAGAGAAGAGTCATTTCAAAGGATTCAAGCACTAAACTGATTCTTGTGTTGGTTGTCTGTTATTTTTATTTTAGGTTGTAAAATGAAGCCATGGACTGCTTGGTCAGAATGCACCAAACTGTGTGGGGGTGGAATCCAGGAGAGGTTTATGACTGTCAAGAAGCGTTTCAAAAGCAGTCAGTTCACTAGCTGCAAAGACAAGAAGGAATTAAGAGCCTGCAATGTTCATCCTTGTTAGCAAACCGAAGTCTTTTGGATAATGCACTCCTAAGCTAAATGTAAAAAATCAACCTTGGTTTGATTTTTTTTTTTAAAAAAAGAGAAAATATATAAATTGTGTATATTAGTCTTCATTTTTGCAGTGGTGTTTGCTTAATTAGTCTTGCTGGTGCAAGAAATCTATTTTATAAATACTTCCTTACAAATATCTGCTGAGAGTAGCTCCTTAATGCTCCAGCTAGCCCTTAACGCATAAAACTAGTGAAGTCATTGTGAAATCTTATAACACTGAAATTATAGACATATCTGTGTGAACAAACTATAATCATAAAAATAGTCCCTGTAAATATGTGGGATGCATGCAAAAATGATACTGCAAACTTAAATATTTGAAAAACTGTTTTCAAAATATCAAAGCAGTGCCTCTGTGTTTATACAGCTGTGCCAAGGAATTACTTTAATAATACTACAGGTGCATATTGATCTTTAACCATCAGCAATGTAAAAATGGTATTTATAGCAATCCTTTGACAATATACCTTTTTTTCTTCATGCAATTGCTTGGACCCCTATTAAATAAATCACCTTATGATTGTTTCCATTAAGAAAGGAAAGCAAACATAAGCTGCCCAGACATGAAAAGTAAGGAGGAACACATTTTCCATCTGTAAACCATATGTCAATTAGCCAGTAAGCTGCATTTAAAAATATCTTCCACACTCTCTCACAAAATCATATGCTAGATGATAAGGTACAGTAAAATATTCTCCCTTAAGGATTCTCCTTGTGTGCAACATAGCTAGGCAAATATATTTCAGAAAGATGAAAGGAAATTGCAGACTTTTCAGAGTTAACCAGTATAAATAAACAATATAAATACTCACAAAAGAGGTGAATCAACCCAGCTCTAGAATAGCTGACGTTATTCTATCCACCAAGTCTAGAAAGAATTAAGGAGAGTTTTGTTTTGTTTGCTTCCGAATTTGCTTTTGCTTCTGTGTGGCACAACAACTTAATTTGGCTTCTGTTCTTTTTACATAAATGTCACTGCATCCATCATCTTTTTGCTTTATTCTTCTACTCATACAGTGTCAGTGGTCATAGTGAACAAAGCATGTGCAGAAAATAGCTGCTTTGCAGGAACACGGTGTTACTAATTTTCAAGCGTGCTCACAAAGAGCAAAGGAAAAAGCATAGCTATTTGAAAAATGTCATGAAGTTGAAAGATTAGATAAATGCCAGTACCACTGACAGGTTCCTTAGGGACATCTTGGGAATGAAGATGAAAGCTCCTATATTTGTATTATAAAATATTATTACAGGCATATAACTTGAACTTTTAGATTTCAGCTTCCATAATCCCTAGTGAACACAGATGGTTGAAAAGACCACCATCAAAAAAATCAGATTGTCTGTCTGCAATTTAACACATAACTACGTGAATGTCTTGCAAAAGAAAAACAAGATGACTTGAATTAATAAATGCCAAACGCCAGTACAAATTAGATCCAAAACCAGAGAATTTTAACTTAAAAGCATGAAGCGCGATTATGTTAGGCAGGAATTGGGTCAATTTATTTACAGAATTAAGTGGCTTGGCCTTTTTAGATAGCAGAAATTCTTGGCATCTTAGGGACATAAGGGTAGCCTTGGGGAAGGATTTTTATTTCCAAAGATTAGCAATGCTCTTTTCCCCCAAAGATTTATATGTACAGGTACATATACTTTCATTTACCACTTCCATTTTACCGCACAATTTTCCTTTTTATGAAGTTTCCAAAGTTTCTCCATCTAAAACTAGATAAGGCTATGGCTCAACTAGAAAATGCACCCTCATAAATTATATTACAATTATTGCACTTTTTCATTCTGAACAGTCAGTCATTTTTAGTGTAACTCACCCAAAAGCACTGGAGTCCAAGACACAGAATAAACACAGGAGTTCTATAGATCCAGCATATGGGTGAGTATAGAGCAGAAATATCTTGAAACAGCAAACACTTTTCCAAGTTGCTATCTGTGTTGGGATCCTCAGTCTTCAGCTATTAAAGGTTCTGTTGTTTTATGATGATAAATTAGTCATCCATACAATCAAAACATGCATGAAATGTGTACACTCCTGATGAATTTAACTGCAACAAACAGTTCCTTTTATGCTATGATGTCTTAAATACTGGTGACTCTCTTAGAAGAGTGTTGGCTCTAGTGAACTAAGTACAAACACTGCGCCTGATTTCAGAGGAATTCAAAATTGGTATTTCACTGGGGACAATATTTGACTGACAGAATGGTTACACAGTTGCCTTTAATTTCTTTAATGTCTAATAATATTATGAATGGCTGGCTAGCTTTTCAAAGGATTGCTATCAGAAAGCATGACAAAGCTTGCAGATGAATATAATTTCCATCTTATATCAGTAGTCGTCCCAGTTCATACTGAAAAAAAAGAATATTCTAATTTGTTTCAAAGGGGGTTGTGTCTTTAAGCTTGTGACTTTTCACAAAATAATACATTAAAAATATCAGAAGAAAATGAAGGAAAAAAACAGAATAAATCTAATCCAATTAAAGTTACTCCCTTATTTTAATTATGAACTTTAATTAAGATTACCTTGTACCACTGAATTTAAAAGAATTTAATTATATCTAATTTGAACTGTATTGAAGCTTTTAAGATTGCTTTCTTTGTTAAGAAACAAACCCAGTGTGATATAAAATGCATATTTCTGAATTGCTACAAATCTTATATAATGTTGGCTTCACGGCAACCAACAAAAAAGTATGGATGATTTTTTTTTTTACAATAATTCATGTCTCTTGCACACTTCAGAACCAAAACACAGGTATATAGTAGCTATAAGAATTTTATACACCTCACTGACCATTTATTAACATTGGTATATCTTCTTGTTCCTCTTTGTTGTTGTTTTTTTTAAAAAAAAAAATCTGTAGAAACTTTACAAGCAATGAACAGAAATGCTGGGGGGATTATATGTACAATAGGTTTTAATAAAAGCTACTTGGTTTTTTAAAAAAAAAAATCAGAAAAGACCCTCTTTGAAGTTTTCTTGTTATTTTGGGTTCGCAATAGGATTTTTGAGAAAACTGTTATGGATATATTTCCTACCAAAGTCTTGTGTAGATGTTTTGTATGTCGTTGTCTGGCTAACACATTATTATTTTGGAATAAAGACATCTTTACTATGAAAACAAAAAACACGCAATTACTTTAGTTTAATAGTACAGCATCAGATTAGAAGGGACTGCCAAAACTCGCTGAAAATGCAGGTCTTCAGGCCTCAGCCAACTCTTCCTGAAATATGTTAGCCCTGTGCAACTTTGACATATGAATCTTAAATAGGTGTGCCAGTGTGCCTCCTCACAGATAGTCCTTGAGTTGTGTCTGCTCATTCAGCAATTATTCAAAATTACAGTGGCGCTGAAAAAATATATGTATGACCCGTCCTCAGAGTTGCAGCCATCACAGCATCCCTGTGATTGCAAATGTACCTTCAGGTGCCCAGCTCTTGATTACAATGTTACAGTGATTGACATTTGCAACCTTCCCTGCCAGCTTCCAACAAGTAAAGGCCATGAAGCTGGCAGGGAAGGTTAGAAGTTGCCCCAAGTAAGTTGCACCTTCCACTTCTTCTCCCAAGGAGCCCACTACAATGCCTGAAACTAAGAGATCTCATACTCCTTAGCAACTTCCACGTGCCCACACTCCAAAGCAATCACTCTCCCATTCACCCAACCCTCTAATAATCTCTGGTGGCCTTCCCATGGTCCCCAACAACCTGCCCAAACTCCCTATTGCCCTCCTTCCCACAGCACACATGCCCTCCACCATATTTCTTACCTGGAACTCCCAATTTTCCATTTAAAAACTGCTGCTGAGTCTCTATCCTTCCATTCCTCTGCCCTCAGAACTGAGGAAGCTTCTTGGATAAGAAGCAAAACGTTTTCTTATTCTTCCTCAAGCAAAAGAACAATTCAGTTGCCTTGGGGGGGGGGACACAAATGAAGGCAAATATATGTGTCCAGGATAATGTTGCAGAAACCAAAGCTTTTCTGTAGAAATAACAGAGTTCCATCATTCGCTATGTGAAGATACATAACAACTGATTTACTGTCAAGAATAAACCGGCTTGCAGGATCCAATCTGGGTTGGTCACTGGGACCAGAGATTTAGTCTTCCCAACTTTTGGATTCATGCTGGAGCCCATCCTCAGTGAATTGTGTACACTCCTGAGGATGGGCTACAGCGTAAGTACAAAAGCTTGGAAGACAAAACATTTTGGTCCCAGTGACTGACCCAGATTGGATCCTGCAAGGGAAAAAAAAGAATCTTTGACACAGTGCTGCTGAGTACATGCTCTGATTATTAAACTAGTACAAATTGATATCCATAGGAATATTTCTCCCTATCCCAGTGGTGGTGAACCTATGGCACGGATGCCAGAGGCGGCACTCGGAGGCCTCTCTGTGGCACGCACGCTGTTGCCCCAGCCCCACTTCCACCCACAGCCCCCTCCTCACCAGCAGCCCTCCAGGAGGAGAGTCACCCCTGGGCAACAGGGACAAGACTCCGCCCTTGTACCGCATAGTGCGCAGATGATGCTGCGGGGTGTGGGCAAATGGCATGGTTGCCAAGGTGCTGCAGGGCTGCCTGGTGATCTGCAGCAGGCCATGGAGGCGGTGCATGGCCCTGCAGGTGGGTGGGGCAGGGGATGGGCGGGGGTGGAGCAGGCAGGGCAGGAGGTGGAGCAGGGGCAGGAGGGTGGTTTTTGGGCACCCGATCTCTAAAAGGTTTGCCATCACTGCCCTATCCCATTATTTCTGTTTGGATTGGTAGCCATTTTCAAGAATTCGAGTTGGGGATATTTTGTGTTATATGCTACCTGACACCTTTGTAGACATTGTGGATTGAATATGGGATCTTCTTCTGCATAATAGACATGCACACTGCCACTATTGTACTTCCCTGAACTAATACTGTCCACTCTGCAAGGTAACCATTTAAACACTCAGTAGCAGCAAATATTAGAAAGTACATGTTTCTGGCAGAGATGCATTATAACAGCCACAGTAAGTACAAAATGTCACCATGGAAAGTGCTCATGAGGCTTTTTCAACACTGAGATTTAGAATTCTCCTTGGGAAATCGAGCCAATTAAAACATTTTATGCAACACTGAAATTAGCAAGAATATTCCCAGTTGCATATCAGTTATAACTAACACAATAGTCTCCATTTCTAACAAAATGAAATTCAATGGTGAAAAAAGCAAGGTTCTACATTTAGACAAGAAAAACCTAATGCAAAGGTATAGGATAGGTGGTATCTTGCTCAATAGTAGTCCCAGTGGACAATCACTTAAATATGAGCCAGCAGTGTGCTGCAGCTGCAAAAAAGCCAACACAGTGCTAGGCTGCATTAACAGAGGGATAGAATCAAGATCACGTGAAGTGTTAATACCACTTTACAATGCCTTGGTCAGGCCACATTTGGAATACTGCATCCAGTTTTGGTCACCATGATGTAAAAAAAATGTTGAGAGTACAGAGAAGAGCAAAGATAATTAGGGGACTGGAGGCTAGAACATATAAGAAACGGTTGCTGGAATTGGGTATGTCTAGTCTAATGAAGAGAAGGACAAGGGGGGACATGATAGCAGTGTTCCAATATCTCAGGGGCTGCCACAAAGAAGAGGGAGTCAAGCTATTCTCCAAAGTACCTGAAGGCAGTACAAGAAGCAACAAGTGGAAACTAATCAAGAAGAGAAGCAACCTAGAACTAAGGAGAAACTTCCTGACAGTGAGAACAATTAACCAGTGGAACAACCTGCTTCCAGAAGCAGTGAATGCTCCAACACTGGAAGTTTTTAAGAAGAGATGGACAGCCATTTGTCCGAAATGGTATAGGGTTTCCTGCCTGAGCAGGGGTTGGACTAGATGACCTCCAAGATCCCTTCCAACTTTATTATTACTATTATTATTATTATTATTATTATTATTATTTTGGATCATCGCACAGTCAGCCAGATGTTCAGACTGGATTTGGCATTTTGTCTACCTATCGAGTCCTTACCCAGGACCTGGGATAGGCAGATGTGGATGTTTGATGGTATTACAGATATCGGCGCAGGATGGAAGCAGTTATTATTATTATTATTATTATTATTATTATTATTATTATTATTATTATTATTATTACTATTACTACTACTACTATTATTACTATCAATCATCGCACAGTCAGCCAGATGTTCAGACTGGATTTGGCATTTTGTCTACCTATTGAGTCCTTACCCAGGACCTGGGATAGGTAGATGTGGATGTTTGATGGTATTACAGATATCGTCGCAGGATGGAAGCAGTTCCTAATAAGGCCGTCTTTTGCAATTGACTAATAGCAAATTTGTCAATGTATTATTATTATTATTATTATTATTATTATTATTATTATTATTATTATTTCAACCATGGGAAAATAATCGGCTTAGAGTTGTAAATTAAAGCAATTTTTTCCCTGAATTATTATTTTTAAGAAAGCTGTGCAACATGTTTTTTATTACTGGTGGCAGATACATTTAATTTTCATTTTCATATGAGTTTCGCCATTTAAAATTTTTGAAACCTATAAACAAAGAAGGGTGTGTATTCTGCAATCCACATTTTTCAGAATTTAATTACACATATGCACAAATGAAATACTAAGAAAATTAACTAGAAAAATTATATATACAAAGAAGTATTTGGAAAAATGAAACACAAAATTATATACAATATGCAAATTTTATTTCATATGCACCACAAAGCATAATAATAGAGTAAATAAAGCAGATTTTAGAATTGTAAATATCACAATCTGGCTAGGAACCAATAGTATTATATGGCTGCAAAAATAACCAACAGAATTTTATATTACATTAATGATATATTGTTTTTAACTCATGGGACATAATAGTTCCACTCTACCAAACCCCTTTTTTAAATGCTGTTCCAATTCTGGGCACCAGAATCCAATAAAGATTCAAAAACACCAGAAACAAATGCAAGGAAGGATTATCAGGGGACTGGAAACTAAGCCCTATGAGCAAAGTAAGGTAGATTTAATGTTCAGAAAATATGGCTGAGGGGGATACAATAACTGTCAGGCCTGTCCCAGCTTGGATGTTCAGGAAAGAAAGACCCGCAACTCCATTTGTAGTGAAAGGTATAACTTTCACTGAAGCGAAGTAGTTACTGCATTGTTGTTGTTGTTGGTTGCGAAGTCACGTCCGACCCATCATGACCCCATGGACAATGTTCCTCCAGGCCTTCCTGTCCTCTGCCATCTTCTGGAGTCCGTTTAAGTTCATGCCTACTGCTTCAGTGACTCCATCCAGCCACCTCATTCTCTGTCGTCCCCTTCTTCTATTGCCCTCAATCTTTCCCAGCATTAGACTCTTTTCCAGTGAGTCCTTCCTTCTCATTAGGTGGCCAAAGTATTTGAGTTTCAACTTTAGGATCTGGCCTTCTAAAGAGCAGTCAGGGTTGATCTCCTCTAGGACTGACCAGTTTGATCACCTTGCAGTCCAGGGGACTCGCAGGAGTCTTCTCCAGCACCATAATTCAAAGGGCTCAATTATTTTGCGCTCAGCCTTTCTTATGGTCCAACTTTCACAGCCATACATTGCAACTGGGAAAACCATAGCAAAGCCAGATCTGAATATTCCCAGGTAAATGCAGTGCTTTTCCTATCTCCTGGGCTCTCTCCACTTGATCCTTTCATAATTGTCCAATGGTGTTCAAACTAGGTGTTTTAGTAACAGTCCTAAAGTTTGGTGCCTCTTTGCTGAGTATTCACATTCCATTCTCATGCTTGGGTCCTTGGATCTGCCAGGTTCTGTTCCAGGCTAGCACCTCTGATTCCTCTCATCTCCCTTCTCCCTCTATCTCCTTACTCCTCCCTCCCCCCTTTGATAGCAGGATGCCATTGAAGTGAAGCAGGGCTTAAGCGATGTTATGGCAGACTTTTAAGACTTTGCTGTGTTACCTCCCCAGAATCTCACAACCTCAAGCACAGCACTGTCCCAGAAAGGTCTTAAGTAACCAAAGCCAGATTCTGGTTAAAGGAAAGAAATGCCCTAAGAGTCTGACTATGGAAATAATTATCTAGGTAGGAGATGTTGTAATTCCTATGAATGTGTATCTTCAAGCAGAAGCTGGACAG